ACAGTAGACAAGCAACACTTGCACGACTAGGCTGGGCTTCCACAACCCAGGAAGCCCTTGTCCTAGCATGAAAAACCCTCAGGCTTGGTCTCCCCATCACTTATGGGGGGGCTGCATATGTGTGTGGAAAGCAGAGGCCCCTTTCCAGGCAAGCAGCTGCAAAGGCAGAGGAACGCAGGAAAGGGACCTCAGAAAAAGGCAGAGTGGTCCATCCAGGCTGCCCTCGGCGTTTCTTCCTGTTTGGTTTGGTTTTTTAATGACTTTATTTGTTACATTTATTTATTATTTATTTATTACTATTGATATTCTGATTTTATTAATATTATTTCTTTTCTTTTTGTCTGATGGGGAGATGAGATGCAATCACTTTGGGGCAACAGGCCCACTTTAGTGCAGCTGGGGGGGGGGGTGTTGTCCCTTGTCACTGGGACCCCGTTTTATTCTTGGAACTTCTCTTGCGTTTGCAGAGGCTTTGAAGCCAGAGAGAAAGCACAGCACAGCAGGAGTGATTGCATCAAAGGCTTCCTTTTCCCTGCTGGAAAACACATCCCACAGTGTGTGTGTGTGTGTGGGGAGAGAGAGAGAGAGAGAGAGAGAGAGAGAGAGAGAGAGAGAGAGACCCCTACCCACTCAGTCACCCACCCACCCAGCCCCAAGGCCCTGAACAGTTTTGCCAAGGGCACACACAGCTTCTTGCTTCAATGTTGAACTTGCTGGCTTCCCAGTCAGAACACAGAGACCCACTCACCAACCCACACTTAGCTGTCTGCTGTCACATTCTCCCCCCCCCACTTCCTCCAAGGGGGCTGATGATTTATTTAAACCCATTATCAATTTTGCAAAGGATGCAACCCAGCAAATGCTGTGTAGCTCAGCTAAACTGAAGCACGCCCCCCATGTGCTAAGAAGCAACTTCTCTCCATCTTGCTTGCATTTCCTGTTGCAGCCTGTTCTGCAGCCTGGAGAGACTCCCTTGACAATTCCAGACACAGACCAGCCTCTCAAAGCTTCTGGGGTGCTTCCTGGGCTGGTGTGTGTGTGTGTGTGTGTGTGTGTGTGTGTGTGTGTGTGTGTGTATGTGTGCGCGCGCGCATGAAGAAAGATGCTGGTCTAGCCCCACCTGGAGAGAACATCTTCCTCGGGGTGCCTCAGGGGGCCTGGGAGCTGTTCCTTCCCTAGAATTTGTTCCAGAATGAGAGGGAACCGCTTGAACAGCATCCAGATGTTCCTTCACTTTTTGCAGGGGTTCTCAACCTTGGCAACTTTAAGACTTGTGGACTTCAACTCCCAGAATTCCTCAGCTAGCTTAAGGCATCTGGTTTTCTTCTCTAAGTTGCCATTGTTGTAATGATGAAACACTGCAAAGGGCCCAAACTTTAAGATGGGTGGGCTTCAATCCCCAGATTTCCCCAGCTGGTTGGGGAATTCTGGGAGTTGAAGCCCACCCATCTTAAAGTTGCTGAGGCTGAGAAACGCTGACTTGGCCAGTATCTAACATAAATCAGAGACTTCCATCCTGGCACCATCAGTGCCCTTTGCCCCTCTGATGTTCTCCACACCTTCTGACCATCAAAGGTCCACCACGGAGCAACGATCCCTAAATACAGGTATTCCTTGACTTAGAGCCATTTTTCACAATTGTTGCAGCACCCCCCGTTTCTTGTCAAAATTCGGATGTTCGGCAACCGGCATGCATTTGTGACAGTTGCCGTGTCCCGGAGTCTCGTGATTCCCTGTTGCAACCTTCTGACAAGCAACGAAACCAGATTCACTTAACCATGTTACTAACTTAGCAATGCCACACTTAACATGTGTGGCAAGAAGAGTCGTAAAATGGGGCAAAACTCACTCAACTGTCTTGCCTAGCAAGAGACATTTGGGGCTCAATTGTAGTCGTAAGTCGAGGACTGCTTGTCCTCCACTGAGGGTCTCCCTGGGAAGAGCTGCTGCTGGCTGTGTTTTGTGTGGCTGACCCTCCTCTGCACAAATGGCATTTCCGCCCTGCCTTTGCACGCCCTGCCCTGCCCTGCCCACTCATCGCCATTTCTCTCCTGTCTCGGGAGACGCCGATTTACGGGTGGCATCGCTCACCAGATCCCAACATGGTCCCCAGAGAAATGTCGCATTTTCCACATGTTGCCGTGATTACCTCCTGTGAGCACAGCTGTGTGTCGCCCACAGCTCCTTATTCAGCAAAGCTCCAACTGTTTGCATCCACACCATCATCCACAACCTTGGGCTCAGGAGCCACACTCTGCTCAGCATCTTCCATTTCAGGAAACCAGCCCCTCCCTGCCTCCCCCTCCCCCCCAAAAAATAGGGCCTGAGACTGCTGAACTCCAGCTGCCATTTGTAAAAGCAGGTCAGCTGCCCTCCCGTCCAGATGCCAGCCGTCTGCTCCAGCTGCCGTGGAGTGACCTGAATTTTAATGGCCAAGGCTGGGCGGAGAGCGGCTGAATAACAGGCAGAGAACAAAGGTTAGCAGAATCCCTGATTCCCAGGGCTGGAAGCAGCCCTGGAGGTTTTCCAGTCCAACCCTCTGCCGTCCTTATATGGTCTTAAATCTTTTCCTGAAAACCTAGAGCAATGGAGCATCCACAACTCCAGCAGGCACGCTGTTCCTCTGCTTAATAATCAGGAAATTCCTCCATATTTCCAGGCTGGATCTCCCTCTGAGGAGCTTCCATCACTGCATAATGAGAAGCAACGGATGGAAAATAATCAAGGAAAGAAGCAACCTGGAAATAAGGAGAAATTTCCTCACAGGGAGAACAATTAATCAGTGGAACAGCATGCCACCAGAAGTTGGGGGTGCTCCATCGCTGGAGGTCTTCAAGAAAAGATTGGAGAGCCACATGTGGGAAACAGTGTAGGGTCTCCTGCTTGAGCAGGGTGGTGGACTAGAAGACCTCTGAGGTCCCTTTCAATTCTGTGGTTCCACTTCTTGTCCTGCCCTCTAGTGCTGTGGAGAATAAATCAAAGCCTTCCAAGTGCTGAAACATGCCCTGGTTCCAATAGAAAAGAATATTTATAGCTCCTGGTTGAAATGAGGGGACCTTGGTGCTGTCTGAGCTTGGTTATTTTCTTGCAGATGTTTCATTACCAAACTAGGTAACATCAACAGTGCGCTGACAACCAAGCTCAGAGTGCATTGATGCTGTTACGTAGTTTGTCTGCAAGGAAACCACCCAGCTCAAGGAGCACAGGGAGCCCATAGACCTCGTTCCTTTGGCTGTTCATCCTGTTTCAGCCCCCCCCCCGCTCATCTTTGCTGCTCTTCCCTGCACCCTTTCTAGAGCCTTGGCATCTTTTTTGTATCGTGATGGCCAGGAACACAAATCCCACTTTGAGCAGATTTGACAGCTCAACTGGGGGGGGGGGGAGGCAGGACCCTGGGAAAGGTTTTAGGCCCTGGACAGCTGATCAGGGCGAACAGCCCCCTGGCAGAGACGGACGTTTCTCAGGATCCCAAGAAGGGTGGGTTTGCCTTTAGCCACTAGCCTCTGAAGGACCCGTCTTCCCTGTTTTATCTCAAAGTCTCCCCTGCAGCAAAGGGCTGTAGGATTTACTGCTGGGGCCGCCCCTGAAGGCTGCTCAAGAACTCTGGGCTTTGCAAACTGCAGCAGCCCCACCATACCAGTTGCAGAGGGCCTGAACTTTGAACCTCTGAAGCCGTGACTGAAGGATGGCCTTTGTTTTCCTGGTTAAAAAAAAGAAAATGGGAGCCTCAACACAGAGGGAAATAGTCATAAAAACAAGGAAAGGGAGAAAGAGCGGGTGAATAACAGCCAAGAGGCCTGTATTAACGGGGCAGCCGAGCTGAAAGGCAGGCCGAGCGGGATAGCTGTTCTAGCTGTTCGCTGAGGCTTAAGAGCAGCTCCTGACGAAATACGATCCCTGGGATTCGACCTGCTTTCCTGAAGCCCTGGGAGAGCACACGAAGATCTCTCCAGAGGAGGAATCCATCTGCAGGAGGTCAGCCGAGCTCTCCGCCTCCCCTCAGCCCAATTTCATAAAGCGATAAATTCATAAAACCCTCATCAAGGGGAGGAGCGTGGAGACTGACCTGTCCCGCCGAGAACTAGCTCCCTTTGCCCACCCTGGTGGGCTCTGCTCTTGCACTTGGCCTTCTGGAGCTTGGAGGTCTGATCCTGAGAGAAGCAACATATGGTCGCTCAAATTTCCAGCCCTGCCCCCCTCCAGAGGCCTCACCCCCTCTCCAGCTGTTCCTGAACCGTTTCTAGCAAGGCAGCTGCATCCAAGTTCCCTTCTGGCATCTGGGGGGGGGGAGATGCTGGGCTCGCTTGCTGCAACCCCAAAGAGGAGGAGAATAGCCAAATTTTTTTTTTTTTTTTTGCTTTTTTCTTGGGGAAGGGGCTTCTCTTCTTCTCTCTCAAGTAGCCCTGGGGGGGGGGGCTGTTGTAACTCTGAACGGTCGCTAAGTCCAGGACTATTGGGGTTGATTTTTTGCGGGGGAACGATTGCTCTGTGTTTCTTTGGGGCTCCGGGTGGCTCTACTCTTCTCCATGGCCGAGGACAAAAACAATCCTGGGCATTTGGGAAGCCCCCCAAATGGCTGTAAATTGGTTGCCAAGTGCCCCAATCACGTGACGGCTGGGGGAGTCGTCAGAATTTTGAATCTGGGGTGTATGTAGCCCTGGGGAGGTTAGTTGTACCTCTGCAGTTTCGCTAACTGACCAGTCGTAAGTCAAGGACCACCTGGATTGATTTGTGGGGGGGGGAGAACAGTCCTTGAGCTGATCAAGGAAATAAGCATGAGAACTTCATCGTTTTCCTTGCATTTTCTGCCATTCCCCCCCCCCCAATATCCCCCAAAGGATACCAGGCACCCACATCCTTCCCCGGGAAGAAACCCTCCTGATTTTCACCTCCATTTATTACAAAATTCCAGGTGTGGCTTAGAAAAACAAACGGTCTTTGTAGAAAACGGGCCCTGAACAGAGTCCAGTAGAAAGATGCCCGTAAGGCCGAGGTGAGACCCCCAAAGCCTCTCTTCTCCCCCCCCCCAGGAAGAGGCAGCTGAGCTGGGGGGACGCCTGGGTCTTCTGCTGGGGCCACAGCACCCTGTGGAGGAACAGCCAAGGAACGCCGGATTCAGCCTGCAAGAGAGAACAGCAGAATTTGGTTTCCTGGCACTCTTGACTGCCTGCCTGAAGCGCAGACTGACTGCTCTCACAAACTTTCCACATGCCCCCCCCCCCCAAATCAGAGGCAACCAGGGTCTCTTCCCAGCCTGCCTTTCGGTGTCTCTCCAAATGGCTCACGTCTTCATGTTTTGAGCGTGCTCATTCTTCTTTTAAAAAACTTGGAGGACCCATGGACCTTTTTTCATGGCAACACACACACACACACGCACACAGGATGGCAAAGCAGGAGCAGTAGGGGGCGCTGGGTGAGAACTCAGCTGCCACCCTTCTGCACATCTGGCTGTTGTGCAAAGATAGAAGGCCAGCTGCCCTCTTCAAATGCAAGCCCTCTCCTGCATTGGCCCCCGAGTTTCTGGCAATGGGGTGGCTATGGGGTGGGTGGGTGCAGAGAGAGCTCCTACCTTGGGGCTGGGGTCCGATTGTGGCTCGTTCTTCGCCAGCCATGGCCAGGGCTCAGATCTTGACGCCGGTCCAGTCGTTGGCGTTCCTCCTCTCCTCGGCTGGGACCGCTAGCGGGGGGTCTGCGCAAAGCAAGGGGAGAGAGCAAGGAGCAGAAAGGGGAAGGGGGGTCGACATGAGCTAATCAGCGTAGCAAAGGAAGGAAATCCCCCCTGCCTCAATTGCAGTGTTTCTCAACCTTGTCCCTTTAAGACACGTGGACTTCAACTCCCAGAATTCCCCAGTCCACCTGTTCTTAAAAGGGCAAGGTTGACACACACTGCTCTGGAGAGATCCCTACTCCGTCCTCATGAGCAAATTCATCAAGTACTTGAGATACTTTTCTCTTGGCGCCTCTGGATAGGAGCCAATAAGCGTCGGGGAGGGTGGGGCAAGATTTGGGCAGAGGCTTCTGGCTGCCGACCACAACTGAGCCCCCTAATTGTGCCCCATTTTGCCACCTTTCTTGCCACAGTCGTTAATTGAATCCTCGCGGCTGTTAAGCCAGTCACACGCTTGAGAAGTGAATCTGGCTTCCCCCTTGACTTTGCTTGTCAGAAGGGGATCACGGGGCACACACACACACACACAGGGACACAGCAAGTGCCAAGCACTGGTTTTAAGTGTGAAAAATGGCTGGAGGTCCATTTTTTCAGCGCCATTGTAACTTAACGGTCATTGTAAACCAGTGTTTCCCAAACTTGACAATTTTAAGGCATGAGGACTTCAACTCCCAGAATTCCACAGCCAGCAACGCTGGCTGTGGAATTCTGGGAGTTGAAGTCCACATGCCTTAAAATTGTCAAGTTTGGGAAACACTGCTGTAAGCCAAGGAGGAGCCTGTCTTCCTTTACCTTCTTCTTCGGCTCCAGAGGTCTCGGGGTCCAGCCCGGCGCATCCGTGGTGGTGGTGGAGACTCGTCCTGGACCACCTCCTTCTCCGGGGGGACGACACCTCCTCCTCTGCCTCCTTGCCGGACGAAACGGGCCGTGCGCCTTTCTCACAGTCCTTGCCCAGCACTGCCGGGCTGTGGTCCCTCCTGGTCTGGCAGCTCTCCGCCTCCCACCCCTCATGTCTGGAGGCTGAGCAGGCGAGGGGCTGCGGGTGGCTGCCGTTGGTCTGCGAGTAGACATTGCTGACCTTGGCGGTCTTTTGCTCCTCTTGGCCGCTGTAGACCTTGTAGCGGATCATGAGGATGATGATGAAGACCATCACCGAGGCCACGATGATGCCCCCCACGATGATGATCATGGTGCCCCCCAGGAACTGGGTGTGCAGCGAGTGGCACTGCAGGCCGTCCCGCAGGGTGCTGAAGCGGAGGCAGCCGAGGCTCTGGGTGACCGTCAGCGAGGTCAGCCCGTCGTTGTAGATGGCCAAGACGCAGAGGTGGTAGTCCCGCCCGGCCGCCAGGTCCTTCACCAAGAAGCCCTTGCTCGTCGGAGGGATCATTCTGGGGGAAGAAAGACAGAAGAGCAGAGTTGAAAGGGACCTCGGAGGTCTTCTAGTCCAACCCTCTGCTCAAGCAGGAGACCTTATACCAGGGGTAGGCAACCTCGGCTCTTTTATGACTCATGGGCTTCAACTCCCAGAATTCCTGAGTCAGCATAGCTGAACCAGGAATTCTGGGTGTTGAAGTTCATGAGTCATAAAGAGCCGAGGTTGCCTACTCCTGCCCTATATCAAGAGTGCCCAACCTTGGGAACTTTAAGACTTGTGGAATTCAATTCCCAGAATTCCCCAGCCACCTTGGCACTCAAGTCCCCTCCACTCCTGTAAGGCCAGACCAAGATATCCAAGCAGCTGCCCCCTGCTCAAAGATTGGGGAGCTCCAGCCCCCTCCCAAGGCAGAACAGAACAGAACAGGAGAAATTGATTGAAGAATAGAATAGGAACAGAACAGAACAGAATAGAATAGGAGCTGGAAGGGACCTTGGAGGTCTTCTAGTCCAGCCCCCCGCTCAAGCAGGAGAACCTATACCATCTCAGACAGGTGATTGTCCAGTCTCTTCTTGAAAACCTCCAGTGAAAATTTCCTTCCTGAGCCTCCTTTCATATTCGCTTCCACCCGCCTGGAAGGTCCCCAGAGCCCATCCGGCTGATCCCGGCCCAGAGCCAGCCACTCTATTCTGCGCACGTCCCCAAACAGGGCGGGCAGAGAGTCTTCTGAAGGGGGCTTCCCACGGCCGTGACATGCTTCCCACCATCTTGGACTTCAAAGACCGGGAGGAAACTGTGCTAAGAGGCTTTCAGGCTGATCAGAGGCCGAGCTGCTTAAATGTCAACAAACTCACAGGGGGCTTCTGTCGAATGACGAGCCTCTTCTTTGCCCGGCACAAAGCAGAGCTGTCCCGCTCCGCAAGGGGGGCCGGGCCCTGCAGCTAGAGACCACCTTCCCGGTCCTCATTAAAGCTGCAAGACGTGTTTGCAAAGCAGCAGCAGAGCCGGGGAGGGGGGGGAAGGACCCGGCCCAGATGAAAGATGCCGCAGATTCCCTGGCACGGGGATCCAGCCTCTCAGGCCAAATCTGCCATTTGCAAGAGGTTTGCCAAGGAGGGAGGGTCCCAGGGCATCCCTGGGGGGGGGGAGGGTCTTCAGCCGAAGGACAGACGCACCACCCCTCTGCTTTGGGGGCTGTGAGACAATCCAGCACAATGGATGCAGCAGGCAGAACACAGGTGGTCCTCGACTTAAGCCGTTCATTTAGTGACCGTTCGGAGTTACAATGGGCACCGAAAAAAGTGAATTATGACCGTTTTTCACCCTTACGACTTGCAGCCTCCCCAGGGTCACCGGATCGGAACCCGGAGCCTTGGCAACTGGCTCGTGTTGATGATGGTCACCGTGTAATCACGTGATCCCCGTTTGCGCCCTCCTGACCGGCCAGGCCAAGGGGGAAAGCAGAAGCCCCTGGCGGGGTTTACTGGTTTAAGAACTGCGGTGAAAGGAAGGGCGTAGAATGGGGCAAAACTCGCTTATCAACCGTTTTGCTTAGCGACAGAAATGTAGGGCTCCACTGCGGTCGTAAGTCAAGGACCACCTCTAGAACATCCCCGGCCTGGTTTGTGACTCAGAAAGAGAAAACGCCTCTCTTTGTTTGTGGGACACCCTGTCCTTGAGACCCCCCCCCAGTTCTTGGAAAGGAAGGCACTTCCCTCAAACTCTGCCCCCTAAATCAGGGGGGGCAGGCAGCTGCTCTTCCTGAGCAAGGCAGCTCAGCAGCCTCGTAACCCCCCCTGCCATCTGTTCCTTACCCCCCCCCGTTTCTGAGCAGGGCCCCCCCCAGGCAAAGTCACAGAGACGTTGCAGAACCACCTGACCAGCATCGGTTCTCACAATCCTCAGCTCAGGGAAATGAGCCCTGCATGTTAACGTCTCCCCCCCTTTGTCCTTGAGCCCCCCTCCTCTCCTCAGGCAGAGCCAGGGGGGCAGTGCAGATGGCGTGGGCAGCCATCAGCGCCCCCCCAGAGACCCTCCCCACGCGGGATCCCAGAATCCTCTTGCTGGCCCTTCACCTCTTTCGGGAGGCTCCCCCCCTCCAGCCTTGGCGACACTGGAAGGAGCCTGAAGGACCCCCCCCCCCTTTGCCTGCCTGGTGCGGCTGCGGCTGGGATGGATAGATGCTGAGCCATCTCTCCTGCCTGCAGGGCCGGCCCCTCCCCGCACTGCCCCCTCCCCGCCCCCAGCTGACTCACAATAGGCATCAGGGAGTTCACCCTCCCCAGCCCCCCCCCTCCTGTGCTGGCTCTCACGCACACACCAAGGCTGCTCAAATGCTGCATCCTAAGTAGGTCACCCCACATTCCTTTCCTGCCAGCAGGCAGTGGATGCTGGGCCCGCTGCCAAAGGTGGGGTGGGGGGACCCAGAAGACCCCCTCGCCCAGAGAGCTTCCCCACCTCTTTGCAAAGCGGGAGAGCAATGCAGGGGGGGGGAGCGGAGAGGCTGGGATGGTTGGAGGGGGTGAAGTCAAGGAAGAAAAGCCCCAGGGAGGGGGCAGAGGGTCTCGGATCTTGCTTTCAGCCCCCCTCTTCTTGCAAGGCCAGCCCCTCCCGCCAGCAGGGCCTGGGCTCCCCCTGCCCGCTGGGTCCAGGGGCTCCTTCCCTGCCTGGGTCATCTAGCCTGACCCTCTTCTCAGAAGGGGCAGACGGCACAAAATGAGGCATAAGATTCAGTAAAGGGAAGCAGAACAAGGGTGAGGACAGTGATGGGGGGGGTGCCAGCCGCCCCCCCCCCCACTGCCTCCTTGCCCACAGAAGAGGGAAGGGCATAGTCCTTCCTTGAGTCCCACAGGATATATTTGCTGATTAGGTAAATTATGACCCTTTTTTGCACTTACAACTGTCGCAGCATCCCCGTGCCCCTGTGATCAAAATTCCAATGCTTAGCAACTGACTCATACTTACGACGGCTGCCGCGTGCCAGGCTCATGCGATCCCCTTTTGTGACCTTCCGACAAGCAGAGTCAATGGGGGAAGCCAGATTCACTTAACAACCTGGTTACTAACTTATCAACAGCAGTGATCCACTTAACACCTCTGGTGAGGAACGTCGTAAACTGGGGCAAAACTCGTTTAAGAATGGTCTCACCTAGCAACAGATATTTCGGGCTCAATTGTGGTTGTAAGTCAAGGACTACGTGTACCTAAGGACTGGAGGAGATGATGGGCCCCCAGTCCCATGGGCCCCACCCCTCGGCCTTGTCTTGCACTAACCTGGCACGAGCTGCCACTCCCCGTGGCCAACAGCTGAAGACCCCACCCCATATTGGGCTGGAGGAGACGGGAGCTGTGGTCCAGTACACTTGGGGGGGGGCAGAGCAGGGAAGGTGGGTCACTAGCAATGCCCAAGGTTATGGGATCATCCCTCGGGCCCCTTCCGGCTCTGGGTTCCAGACACGAACCATCCCAATGGAAGCAAATCACAGGGAAAGAGCTTTGCTCAGACTGGCTGGGAACTCCTGACCATCTTTGGAAATTTAATTGAAATTTTATCCCTGGAACGCAGCAGGTTTGAGTCCTCGGCAAAGGAGAAAAGGGAAGGAATCACCCCAGCCAGGAGCAACCCTGCTCAGGAGGTGGAATCTGATCCAGCTGTTTGGGGATCGGCAGGGAGTCTGCAAACCTCTCAAAAATGCTGGATTCCTGCTCATGTTTACTCGGCACCTTAGAAAGGAAAGAAAACAACATTTTGCATCCTGTTAAACACACACACACACACACACACACACACACACGCGCGCGCGCGCGCGCGCACACACACACACACACACGCACCCTGCCACGCCAGCCACCCCCTCCCCGGCATTCAGCAAGAAGGGGAAGCTGGTGCCACAACCTTTTTTTTTTTTTAAAGAAAAAATCATGCAAATTCCCTGTCTTTGGCATTAATTATCCTGCCTTTGGAGGCGGGAAAAAAAGCCTGTGTGCAGGGGGGGGGGGGGGCTCAGATTTGCTTCTCCAGAAAGAGGCCAGAGCCGAAAAGGAGCTGAGCGCTGGGCTGGCGCTGACATCCTGCCGGCTCCTCTGGGATTCTCCCAGCATTTCACTGTCAGGTCTGCATTCCTAACCAGGCGGGGAGGAATCTGACCTTCACGAAGGAAGGAAAGGGAAGGATTGGAAAGGCTGAGGAATTCAGCCAAGCTCCCCCCTCGCTTCTGCAGATCGGCCCCTCCAAGCTGGCTCAGGGCACCTGGAGCCCATCATCCCCTCCCAGTCCTTGGATATCAAGCTGTAATTTGTGCTTGCAGTAAAAATATCTACCTCATTGCAATTCTATGGCGACATAATATGGTGGTTTTTTTAGGGTTTTACCTTAGTTCAATATTTTATCTCTTGTATTGTACTGTCTACATACCTTATACAGCTAGTCCTCGATTTATGACCACAATTGAGCCCAAAATTTCTGTTGTTAACTGAGACATTGGTTAATTGAGTTTTGCCCCTTTCTTGCCACAGTTGTTAAGTGAATCACTGCAGTTGTTCAGCTAGTAACACAGCTGTTAAGTGAATCTGGCTGGGGAATTCTGGGAGTTGAAGTCCACAAGCCTTAAAGTTCCCAAGTTGGACACCCTTTTGCTACACCCTTTCAGATGAACGGTTGCCCCATCTCTTCTTAAAAATCCCCAGTGTGGAGCCCCCACAACGTCTGGAGGCAGGTTGTGGTCCCTCCGGTCACTGGGAGCTGACCTGGCCACTCCTTCCCCCGAGCCGAATGTGAAAGCCACTCCCAGCCCTGGAGGGGCTGCCCAGCGCTTGCTATCCCCTGGCGGCATATTGTCCCCCCCAACCTAAAGGCCTCCCAAGCGCTGCCACTGATGACCCAGCTCACCTGTACACCAAGTTGTCATCCGAGGAGCTGTTGTACTGGATCTGGTACATGCGGATGCCGGGGATGTGCCACTGGGGGTACCAGCGGATCAGGACGGAAGAGGAGGAGATTTCTGTGGCCACCACGCCCTTGTCCTGAGGGGGCCCCGTGTCGTTGGTGCCCAGAGGCAGGGTGGCCATGGCCGAGGTGAGGATGTCCGAAGGCCCCACGGCCTCGGGCACCTTGGGGGTGGTGGCATTGGAGAGCAGCGGCAGCAGGTTGACCACCAGCTCCACAGACGTGGTGGCTTCGCCGGCAGCATTGGAGGCGATACAGGTGAAGACCCCCGTGTCCTGGATGGCCGCGATCAGGATCTCCAGGGTGCCGTTGTCGTAGGAGGCAGTCCGCGAAGTGTTGGCCACCACTTTGCCTTCTGGGGAGACCCAGTGGATGGAGGGCTCCGGGTCGCCCACGCCGCGGCAGCGAAGGACCGCCCCCTCGCCCTCCATGACCACCAGGCGGCCCGTGTGACGTGTGATGACGGGCGGCTCGCAAATGAACTCTTCCTCGGGGATGGTCCAGAAGTACTTGCCCAGCAGGTCGCCGGGCGAGGCACAGGTCTCCAGGTCATCCTCCCTGGCCAGCCTCCGCAGCCAGAGCAGCTCGCAATTGCAGTGCAGGGGGTTGCCCCCCAGGCTGAGCACCAGGGAGGAAGGCGGGGAGCCCTTGGACTTGGCGTAGACCGGGATGCGCAGGAAGAGGGGGTCCGGCGGGATCTTCTTCAGCTTATTGGAGGTCATGTCCAGGCGGGCCAGCTTGAGCAGGTTGGTGAAGACCCCCTCGGGCACGAAGTCAATCAGGTTGTGGTCCAGGCTGAGGGAGTTGACGTTGTGCAGGCGGTGGATGGTATCCCAGGGGACCCGCACGAGGTTGTTGTAGGAGAGGTCCAGGTCCTCCAAGGTGCCCAGAAAGTCGTCGAAGGCCGCGGGAGAGATGTCCTGCAGCTGGTTGTTGCTGAGGATGAGATGACGCAGGTTGGGCAGCCCCTTCAGCTGCTCGCCCCCAATCAGGAGCAGCCGGTTGTTGTCCAGGTGCAGCGCCCGCAGGCTGCGCAGGTCGGCGAAGGCGTAGGGCAGGATGTGGCTGATGGTGTTGCGCGAGAGGGTGAGGTGTACCAGGCTAGTCATGTTGGAGAAGTCCTTCCGGCGGATGAGGGTGATGAAGTTGTCCGTCAGGCGCAGCTCCACCGTGCGCCTGTCAATCACGGTGGGCACGAAGAGGAGGCCGGTCTTGGTGCACAGGATGGCCAAGGAGGGCGAGAGGTTCTGGCAGATGCAGCGCTTGGGACACACCTGCGCTCGGGCCAGGTGGGCCAGGACCACCAGAAGGCACAGCAGGAGGCCCTCCATGGTGCTGGTCAGGGAGGGGGCTGCAAGGCAAAGGACGGGGAGAGGTTAGGAGGCGGCCTGCTCCGTGGGCTCCTCCAGAAGACGAGAAAGAGGGGTGACTCCTGATCTCCCCTGATGAAGCCTCCAGCTCAGGAATCTCCAAATTTGTACACTATAAATTTTGTGGAACTCCCCACTTGAAGACTTGTGGACTTCAACTCCCAGAATTCCCCAGCCACAGGTCTTAAAGTGGTCAAACTTGGACCCCCCTGCCTTAGGTGCTGATTTTGACAACCACGGAAATCTCTGGGTGGACGTGTCCCATCCTTTCTGAGGCCACAATAAATAAATTGAACCGAGGCCTCTGCACCCACCATCACCTTAGAAAGGTAGCGGGCGACAGCATTCCCCTTTGCCTCCCAGATATGTAGGGACTACATCCCCCATCATTCCCAGTCTTGACAGAATAACAGAGTTGGAAAGGACTCTGCAGGTCTTCTAGCTGGCTGGGGAATTCTGGGAGTTGAATAATATATATATACTACTACTATTACTATTATTATTTTCTGGGGTGCACTATCTATTCCCCCTATAAAATCCAGCCTCGCTTTCTCTTCTCCAAAGAAAACAGGTTCCCAGGTGATGAGATGAGCCGGCTGAGGCCCAGGGATGCGAAAGGAAAAAAATTACCATAAAGACAAAACCTTGCCGTCCAGCATCGTTGTAAACACCCAGCCAGAAAATGAATATTTCATGATCAAATACTTAGTGAGCAAACACAGGAGGAATGTAGTAAATATCTTTTATCAACTTAATTAATCTTAAATCTCCACATAAAGCTATATCGATTTCTCTTTTTCCAAAAGGTAAGCCCCCCAAATCCATAACCAAGAAACGGAATCGGAAGGCCGTTTAGTGGATTCTTCCGCTTATAAGCCCCCTCCTTTTTTTTTCCTGCCACTCCTAGACATTATATTGGAAATTCTGGGGAGGGGGAGTAGGAGGAGCTCGTTTCCACAGGGCAGCCCCTTGGGGTCTTCTCAATCTCTGCCTGGAGCCAGCCACTTTTTCCCTTTGCCATTTAAACAATAACGGAGCCAGGAAAAGAGAGAACGGGGGGGGGACCCTCCCCAGCTAATAAACTCAAGATTTAAATATGCCCACTACGCCAGAACCCTCTAAGTATACAAAGGAGAAAACAGCTTGTAGGGCTTCTCTTCTGTCACTTCTCACAGCAAAGCAATTGGAGGGGGGGCATCCCAAGTGTTAGCTAAGACCCCCCTCAGTCTGCAAAAAATCCAAGCCTGGGTAGCAAAGCTGAGAAAATGCCAACCGCTTGGAGGAACCAACAGCGGGCACCCAATCACCTGCTTAGACTTCCACCTGCGAGCAAGGAAGTTTATGAGGTTGCCGTTAATCTTTTCCATTGTCGTAAAGGCACAGCAACATTCCTTGACAGCAGAACAGGCAAGGAGGACGTGACTCTGGCTGGCAGAAGTCCAGGCCTCAACTGATAAATCCTCTAGTTCAGGCGTTCTCAACCTTGGCAACTTTAAGACTTGTGGACTTCAACTCCCAGAATTCCTCAGCCAGCAAAGCTGGCTGAGGAATTCTGGGAGTTGAAGTCCACAAGTCTTAAAGTTGCCAAGGTTGAGAACCCCTGCTCTAGTTCAGGACTCTCCAAATCTGGCCATTTTTAAGATTTGTGGACTTCAACTCCCAGGATTCCTCACTTTAAGACTTAAGGACTTCAACTCCCAGAATTCCCCAGCCAGCTAGAAGACCTGCAGAGTCCTTTCCAACTCTGTTATTCTGTCAAGACTGGGAACGATGAGGATGTAGTCCCTACATATCTGGGAGGCAAAGGGGAATGCTGTCGCCCGCTACCTTTCTAAGGTGATGGTGGGTGCAGAGGCCTCGGTTCAATTTATTTATTGTGGCCTCAGAAAGGATGGGACACGTCCACCCAGAGATTTCCGTGGTTGTCAAAATCAGCACCTAAGGCAGGGGGGTCCAAGCTTGACCACTTTAAGACCTGTGGCTGGGGAATTCTGGGAGTTGAAGTCCACAAGTCTTAAAATGGCCAAGCTTGGACACCCCTGATTTAGGGCTTCATAGAAGCTGGGCAGTGACGTCCCTCAGCCTTCTCCAGCCGCTAATGCTGGCTGCAAATTAGAACGATTGCTATTAGGGTATTAACTAATGAGGTCATTTATAGTGGCTTATTGCCTATAGATTTCAGCCTCTTATTAAATATTTCAGCGTTTGGGCACATTGTCAAAACTCAATATGGATCCTAGAGTAAGTTTTAATGGAGGCAACGGTGTCAATTAGAAATCCTGCCTGTAACTGGAGCTGCAGCTGGCTTTGAAAAATGCAGTTCTAGAAGAAAAATAGGAGGGCCCCTCTACAAATTAAATTAGCAATTAGCATTCTCATTGCTGGAAATGGCAGATTAATCGTTTTACAATTCGGCTGGTCAAAGTGATGATTAAAAGCTGAGCTCAGCTGGCTGTATCAATAAGCAATTTCTTTACATGTTCAAACCGCTTCGCGTGTTCTTGAACGGTTTCAGTTGGGAACTGCAAAGTGTCCAAAATTCTCATCACAGACAGTCCTCAACTTACAACACTTCATTTAGTGAGTGTTCAAAGTTACAATGGCAATAAAAAAAATGACTGATGATCATTTTTCATGCAGCCTCCCCGGGGTCACGTGATCTAAATTCAGACGCTTGGCAACTGACTCATATTTACGACGGTCGCAGCATCCCGGGGTCACGTGATCCCCTTTTGTAACCTTCTGACAAACAAAGTCAGTGGGGAAGAAGCCAGATTCACTTAACAACTGTGGCAAGAACGATTGTAAAATGGGGCAAAACTCACTTAGCTGTCTTGCTTAGCAACAGAAATTTTGGGCTCAGTTATCGTCATAAGTCGAAGACTATCTGCATTGCTTTTCGAGGAGAAATTTTTTTTGCTGAAATGCTCTAAGTTACTTAAAGATTTCAAGGAAACATTCAGAACAGGATGTTTCTCACCATTACACCGTACTGCCCCTGGAATAAGGAAAGTAGGAAGGCCTCTGAGAACGTGTCAAGTACCTTTGCAGAAAAAGCAAGAAGAGGTGCCTTCCTGGAGTGGTGGAGCTCAACAGCGCTTGCAAACCCAGTGATGCTTCGCCTGCATTTTCAAGCTCTGGGGCCTCCCTTCTTTCTTTCAGAATTAGCTTCTTCCAGTTCTTATTTACACACAGCTGAATCGTGGAACTAAGTTGCAGTGCTGGAGCGTGCACTGTGCAGCAATTTGTCTCACTAATAGAGAAAGTGACGTGGAGCCCCCAAGAAGCCTTAAGCTGGAAGGAAAGGAAAAGTACATTGGAAAGGCAGACGCCAGAGTTGAGGAGGCATTTTTCACACCGAACATCTGGGACGGGCAAACTTTCAGCAGCCCAGGACGAGGGCATCATTCAGAATGGAATACAGAATAACAGAGTCGGAAGGGATCTTAGAGGTCTTCTAGTCCTACCCCCTACTCAAGCAGGAGACCCTAGACCATTCCAGACAGCTGGCTGTCCAGTCTCTTCTTAAAAGCCTCCCATGATGGAACGCGCGCGGCTTCTGGAGGCAAGTCGTTCCTCTGGTTAATTGTCCTCTCTGCCAGGAAATTTCTCCTTAATTCTAGGCTAGATCACTCTATGATAACATATGAAAGAGGCCAGACTACCAATTGCTTTGTTTTGTTCTTCTTGAGGGCCTTTTGGGGGGGCTCGACGCTCATGCTGCTCATCTCCTCCGGGCTTCTCCGCTGAAGCCCAAAGTCAAGGGCTGTTCAGGGCTCTGGGCAGACCCTGCCCCAGCTTTGCCAAGTGACTTGCTTTGAAACCTCCATGCCGCGACGTAGGGCAGAAGGCTCCAAAGCTGGCAACTCAAAGACCTCCAAACATTCAAAGGAATGTTTGTTGAGTAGTTTATATTTCTGTTCTATTGAACTAAACGAGGCGTGGAGGCAGGATTTCAAGATCAGGAGCTGAAAAGCCCGGCAACTTTCGGTAGGGGATGGTGCTAGTCCTTTAGGTGGGACAAACGCCAGCTTCCATCATCCCTGGCCAATCAGCGAAGAGCAGGAGAAGCAGGGAAGTCCACTCAACAGCTGGAGAGTCACAGGCTGCCCAGCTGAGGATGCAGGTTGCACAGCCGCAAAGCTGAGTCCAAGGGACACGAAATGCAGCCCCTGGTTCCCTGCCCTGAATCCAACTGGACTCTTCCTACAGCGCAGGCGCCTGCGTTCCTGACCCCCCCCACCTCATCCACCAGCAGAATGAATGTCGGGATATCCGCAGCATCTAGGATCCGATGACTCGCACCAAGAACAGGGGGCTGGGGGCAGCGATATTCCCCTCCCCAAAGGAGAAACTTGGTTGTTCTGCTCTTTAGCTTCTCTCTAGAGCAGAGTTTCTCAACCTGGGTGACTCTTAAGGCTTGTGGACTTCAATTCCCAGAATTCCCCAAGTCAGCTAGGCAATCCTAATGCATCATGCAAAGGATGTAAATTAGAGACAGATTGCATAGCTGGCTGGGGAATTCTGGGAGTTGAAGTCCACAAGCCTTAGAGTCACCCAGGTTGGACACCTGTCTTAGAGGTTCAGTCCTCTCTGTATTTACAAAGATTTCTGAACAAAAAAGAAAGAAAACAAAGCAAGATCATCTTTAATCTCAGAGACCCTGATAAAAGCAGCCCTCAAAGCAAAATTCGGAAGACCCTCTTCCTCCCCCCCCCCGCCCCAAAGTAACCAGAGTCTTTGATCTCCCTGGGGAAAAAAATGAAGGCCTGGGAATTCCTGAACCAGCAACACAAGTCCCCACACTTGTTCAATTTTTTTTTCTTCCAACTGAAAAAAGTTCAGATTCGCATTGCCCCAATTAATGCATGCAATCTGTCACTAATTTACATCGTTTGCCCGATGCATTAGGATTGCAAACCTCCAGGCTTGTTTGCTGTTATGGAATTGATTCCAAAGGCCCAGCCAAGCAAAACAAGGCCAGGCCATTTGGGGGGGGTGAAGGATGGAGGGGGGGAGAAATGCAGTTAGGAAAGGAGACAGTTTGGAGTCCAAACAAGCAGAAGACCTTCCGGGAGCCCCCCTCCATTAATTTTCCTCCATGTAAAGATGATTTTGCCCCCCTCCCCCCCTTAAATTCAGATAGCCCTCCTCCCTCGCTTTCTGGCCCACTGTCTTCCCATGTTTTTAAGGGAAAAGATCTCAGAGGGGTCTTCCATCCCTATTCAACGGGGGGGGGGGGCTGCTGGAGCAGAAACAGGATCTTCCTCCAGGCACCACCTGACTGGCAGATCCTGACAGACAGATAAAGACATTTTGCTGGTTGTCTTTGTCCTCCTGGCTGAAGAACTGGGCTGTGCCAGCCACGATGCCAGCCGGGGCAGCCCTGACTCGCCCAACAGGCCGGGAACAGGCCGGGGGATGCGGGATCTGATGCCAGGAAGAGGGGGGTCTCCCCCTGAGATGGCTGTCCCCCAAAGGCCCCCAGATCCTGGGGACCCGGCAGAGGAGGGGCCGTTGCGGGCATCGCAGTCGCCTCCCTTTCCCAGGGAACAATGGCCGGGGAGACCCTCGCTCTGCGGGCGAGATCCGAGAATCAGCGCGAGACCCCCAAACACGCAGCGCCGGAACCATATTAATGCTGCATTAGCAATGATCGGTCTGTCCCAGAGCACGTGACATTCACTCCCCCACCCCAAAGAACCGCGGGGAGGGGGGAGCGGGCGGCTCCAGCGGAGGGCTTCGGGGGGTCTCCTTCCCTCCTGGGCGACCAAGGACCCCGAAGCCCGCCGCTCGGCCAGAGCCCGGCCGGGAGCTGTCCAGCCAGGCCACCGCTCGGAAGGACACGGCGTTGGGCCTCCTCCGCAGCGAGGGACGGGCGCTCTGCCTATGCTCAGAGGCACGCCCCACCCCTCGAACGCGCCTTGCACCGAAGCATCCACGGGGGGGGGTCAATTATTTCCGACCAACAGGGGCTCCCTGTGCGGGACAAGCACTCTGCACGTGCTCGGAAGCCCCTGGCCCTTCCCCCTCGCCTTCTAAGCCTCGTCTCCCCCAGCCGACCTACCAGCCGCCCCCCAAAGCCCCCGGACGCGCCCCTCCCCCAGAGCCGACCCCGGCCCGGCAGCCGCTTACCTGGATCCTCAGGCCGGCCCGACGCCGACGCCCGGCCGTCCCTCGAGCCAGTCCCGGCGGGGAACGGCCTCCGCCCGGCCCCCGCAGCCCGCCGGCCTCGGCGGCGCGGCCATCGGCGCCCGGGAGGGCGCGGAGCAGCGGATGGTCGGCGGGCAGCTGCGGCGGGCCGGGCTGCGAGGGGAGCCGCCGGGCAGCGGCTCGGGCGGAGGAACCAAGCGGCCCGCGGCAGCCCGAGGAGAGGCGGACCAGGGCGGGCGCGGACGGCGCCTCCCCCGCCCCGAGCGCCCCTCCCCGCCGCCGCCGGGCCCTGGAGGCGGGGCTGCCGGCGATCGCCGCCCTCCCCACGCGGGAAGCGGCCTGGCGGGCGCAGCCAACCGGAGCCTCGGACGCGCGGGGGCGGCGGCGGTCGGGCAAGGCGCGGCGGAGGGCGCTCCCCTGCGCCCCCTCCCGCTGCAAGGCCCGGCCCCGCCCCCGGCCACGCGTGGCCGCCCCCGCCCAGCCAGCGCCGCCGCGCCCCGCCCGCCCCCGCTGCTGCGACGGCGGCAAAGTTTGCCCGCGAAGTGCCGGACGCGCTCCCGGGGCCGGCAAGGCGGCGCCCGCCCCCCACTCCAGCCGCCCCGTCGCTCTGCTCCGCGCGCCCCCGACGCCCCGGTTGCGGGTGCGCGGGGCTCGCCTCGCCCAGACGGCCCCGGGGGAGGGGGCAGCCCCCGCGACCCCCGCCCGCCCTCCCTCCCTCCGCCGCCGCCGCTGCCCCCCAAGCAAGAGGAGGGGCCGTACGGGGGCAGAGCTGCCGAGGGACCCCCACCCAAGCCAGGAGGCCCGTCTCGGCTGCTGGCCGGCCATCCTGGAGGGGGCAGCGCGTCCGCCTCGAGACCCGTCCGCACCTTTCCCTGCAGCCCGTAGCCCGATCCGGCCGGCGCTTGGCCAGAGCTTCAGCCGGAACCAGCAGCGACGTTCTCTGAGCATGTGCAAAGCACGACATAGCGGAGCCTCCCGTTAGGTGCTGGTTCCCCGCAGGGGAAGGGGCGGCCTCCTCTCCCCCGCCCGGATTTCTGCGCTCCGGTTGGGGAGCCCCCGAGGGTCGCGCTTCGCCCGCTGGCTCGGAAAAACGGGCGTGCAATTTTCTGACTTCGGGAAAGGGGAAACGGGGAAAGGCCCGGAAGAGCTCTGTGTAACTTCGTCGGAACTTTCCATTCCGAGATAACAAAGGCAGCCTCCGGGAGCGATCCGGTCCGGCTGTTGAAGAGACGGATCAGGGCCGGCAAAGGAGCCCAATCCACCCCAAATGCGCCGGAGGTTCCCGGGACCGGCAGGAGAAGATTCGGAGGCTGCGGGCTGAGATCCGGGGAAGCAAAATTCGCTGCCTCCTTGATGCCAGGCAGATGTTTCAAGGCAAAGGCGATGCTAATTTTGGTTGGGTGGCAGGAATTAAAATGTGACTTATTTCCCCACGCCGCCTTGTTGTTTTGTGTTTTATAAGAACCGCCGTCACACACACACACACTTCCCCAGGAGCGATTGTGTCGCTTTGTAAATTAAGGCCCTTTGAGAGAAGGGGATGCTCGCATGCAAATGTGTGAATTGGAGATTAGACAAATAAATAGGGAAAAAATGCAGATTTAGCACTAGGATTACCCTGTATATATGACTCAGATTTAAGAGGGATGTTTTTACACCCTCACTCTCTTTTCTCACACATACACACACACACACACAACACCCAAGCAGTTTGTTTAGCTTTCGACAGCACCGAAATCCTTAGAAATCATATCCACGTCACCCTTGCGCAGCTACCCTCAAATCTATAATAATGTGTCCTAACCCACTTAGCCTTCGGAGCGCTGAGGGACAAGAGCCAAAGAATTAAAAATTGGCAGGTCACAAATCTGGCAGGCCTGGGATCCCCCCAAGTCATCTTTCTTCCTGCAGGCGGGATCCCAGGAGCTGCCCAGCCTCCCCTTCTGATATTAAAATGCCAACTTACCAGCAAGACTTCTCACCTGAGGAAGCGCTGGATAGTAACCCTATAAAACAAGAAAATTCACCATTTTCCCTTTGGGAGACACATGACGTGCGTGGACCGGCATGCAGAGCGCCCGTCTGAAGAGGTTTGAGAGCAAGGAGAATCGACAGGGCTGCAGAAGCTCTTATACAGATAGTCCCTGACTTACAACATATCATTTAGTGACCGTTCAAAGTGGCAACGCCACTGAAAAAAATGACTTATGCCTGTTTTTCACACTTACTTAGCAACGGTTGCGGCATCTCCATGGTCACGTGATCAAAATATGGATGCTTGGCAACCAGCTCCTACTTATGACGGTCGCCGTGTCCCGGGGGGGTCATGTGATCTCCTTTTGCAACCTTCTGACAAGCGAAGTCAAAATCAGATTCACTTAACTGTGGCAAGACAGGTGGGGCAAAACTGACTTAACAATTGTCTCGCTTAGCAACAGGAATGTTGGCTTAATTGTGCTCATAAATCGAGGACTAACTGTCAGGTACAGCACTTCCACAGTGTGGGATTTTACAGTTGTAGGGCTCAACCGGAACATCAGCGTGGTGCCAAGTCAAGGATGGTCCCCCTGAGCATGTACAAAGTGCCTTGGCTTTCCTTCCCCACTGCACGGGTTCTCCCTTGGGATTGGAGAACTGGGGGGGGGAGGGAGGAGGGGGCAAAAGAAACCCACTGTGGGAGCCACGGCCTCATTCTCTCCAGAAGACTTAAGGCTGGCCCTGTGCAATAACGGCCAGCCGTCTCCTAATCAGACACGCTTTGTGCAGGATTATCTGGGTCCCTCAGAACCGGTCAGCTTCCACTCGCCACCAACACACACACACACACACACACACACACACACACACACAGATGCACACACACACACACACACACTCGCCCTGCAAAACCCATTTCCCAGGCCAGCTTTCCAACCTCAGTGCCTGCATTGCCTAACTTATTAATCCCTTTTCTGCTTCCTGTCCCTGATGCAGCTGCTGATATTAAATTGGGAGGGGGAGGAGGGTCCCTTTAGAACTTAGCAATTACTTCCCTGGCCAGAAGGGGGGAGGAAGGGGAGGGGGCATGTGACAGCATTGCATCCCCCCCCTACCACCACCCACCGATTCAACCTGGCATTTCTCGGTTATTCTTTATTTGCAGAACTGGACCTGTCACGGCAAAGGCCTCTGCTCCAGGTTTGCTCCAAAGGGGCTCTTCAGACTGGGGGCACTCATGGGTGGGTGGGGGGAGATTGGAGGAGGAGGCAGGCACCAGATCCATTGGCCAGCAATGAGGAAACAACCCCCACCCCCCACTCCCACCCCTGGCTCAGGCCTTTGGCCTTTCGTAATCCACTTTGGGCAGGAACACGGCGGTGTGAGTTTCCTCCCTTCACCCCCCCCACTTGCCCCCCACACCTGGCCGCCTCGTGATGGAGGAGCCTTGAATTAAACAAAGTGCCCAGCCAAGCAGAGCAACTGACTTCTGAACGGAGCGATGATCACGGCGGGCTGATTCCTTCGGATCGGAGCACATTGGAGGCCAGCCAGAGCTGATGGCAGCTGCCCCCTTCACTTCCCTCCCTCTGGGTCCTTGGCGAACCAGCCCTGGGCATCTCCCGGGCCTGCTGCAGGGTGCTGGCTGTGCCAGGACACACCGACTTATTGATCAACGGGGGGGGGGGGGCTTATCTGTGCCATCACCTGGGACCTCCGGCTTGTAAAATGCAGCACGGCTGGTTCTCGGCTTATGACCAAAACTGAGAGCAGAATTTACATTGCTAAGCCAGGCAGGATCTTTTTTGCCATCGTTCTTAAGTGAATCCTGCAGCCATTAAGCGAATCCAGCTCCCCCATTGACTTTGCTGGTCGGAGGCCAACTGGGGAGGTCGCAAATGGGGATCAGGTGATCCCGGGACACTGCAACCATCTTCCTTGCCTGCCGGCTGCCCCAGGGCCCAAATTTTGACCGGAGTGAGGATCCTGCAATGGTCCTAAGCACAAGACCTGCTGCCCCGGAGTCATTTTCTCAGTGATGCAACCTTGAATGGCTGCTAAATGAACAGTTGTAAGTCGAGGACTGCCTCTATTAATGAAGGTTAGACCCCAAAGACCACCTCCGCCCTACTCATCACACAATTCTCTGGGCAGACCTGGGCATTTTATGGCCCTCCGGCCCAGAGGAGGAAAACTGGAAATTAGGACTCAAAGGTAAATCCAGCCATGCACGCAACACAAGCGCATAGCTTTTATTTCAAAGACAACGGCTATATATTGTTTTCAATTTACCTCTGTGTGTGTGTGTGTGGGCATGCGTGGGTGCTTGCCCACCTCCACAGCTGTGTTTGGTTCGGCCCTCCACAAGGTTCACAGTTTCCCAAGCGACCCCTTGGGAAAACCAACAGCAGCCAAATCACAGGGTCTCTTCTCCAGGAAGGTGGGGGAGGGGGTACCTTGGAGCCTGCCCCTGCTTCTCTGGCTGCATCTCCCCAAAGGGAGGGGGCAACTGTCTGACACCCTCCCCCCCAGAGATGCTTATTCCTGGACCCAGAACTGTGAGGGGAGGGAGGCCGAAAGCCAGACGGCGGTGCAGAGGGGACCCCCAGAAGGATGGGAGGCAAGGGGAGAGTCTGTGGGGCTGAGCCTGCTCCCCCCACCTGCCTTTTCTTCTGGGGAGGGGGGAACCAGGCCTGCAGCCCCAGCCAAGGTTTGCGGCAGGCAGGCGCCCTCAGTCTTGTGCTTCTGGCTGTGTAATTGGATTTTAATAGACTTGGGGGAAGCTGATGAAAACTAATAAGCACCCAAATTCCTTGGAAATACAGCCAAAGGCCACCATTTCGGACTGGCAGTGGCGGGGGAGGCAGGGAAGGGAGGGGACTGGCTTTGACTGGGGAAACCAGGGTCGGGGGCTCGCTTGTGGGGCACAGCCTCTGGCCATGGGTAGGTCTGGGGGGAAAGAAGGAGTGTGTGCCCACCCCCACCCCATGAGAAGCAGAGGCCAGGAGCAGCGCCTTGGATGCAACCCAACAGGTGCGGCTCCTGTTCCTTCTCTAATCCCTGCGGCCCACCCACCCAGCCTGGCTGCCTGGTGCGTCAGAGACGGCCCCCCCCCCTGCATTCCCATCAAGGGGAAGCTGCGGCCAGCTTAATCGACTCCCCCCCTTTTAGAGGAGACCACAGACTCATTTGTATTCATTCATTCCATTTCCATGTTTTAAAAACAGCGCTTAAAGCAAAAGTGTCAAGGAAAGGCAGCTAAATCAATGAAGGTGAAACCGACTCAGGAAAGGAAAATAAAAGGAAAAACAGCCATGGACCCAGGGAGGGTCTCTCCCCCCCCCTCTCCGCTGCTCCCCTCCTTTGAGCCCTGCAAAATGGCAGCTGCTCATCAGGGGTCATGAGAATTGATCTTAAAAGAGGAGACAAGCATCTCCCCCATTTGGGGGGGGGGCAGTCCTCTAGATGCAACACTGGCCAGATGCCGCTAAAGGAGGCAAACAGAAGGAAGCCCAGCGGGATTGGTGGAAAGAGGCCCTGGCAATTCCTGGGCATTTGGGAAGCCAGGTTCACACGACAGGCTAATGCTCCCTCGAGATTCTTTGTCTTCTTGTCGTGTGAAGCCAGCCTGACGAAGTCGATAAACCGCAGTTAGGCAAATCGTAATTTCTTTGAAGACAGCCCGTAATGGTGCGGAACGAGAAACCGGAGCTTCGCTCAGCCCCGCGTGGGAGTTTCTCTTGTTCTGCTGTTTTAGCTCCTGGGGCTCCAACGACCCACCTGGGTGAGATTTCAGACAACCAGCTGAGCTTGCTGATGAAGGCTGAGGAAGGCCACTGTTCCCACCGCCCCTGCCCCATTTCTCCCCATCACTGCCTACACGTGTTCTGTCTCTTTACATTCCAGCCGATCCCGTCAGGCCAAACCCCACTAATTCTTTATTTTTTTAAATGTTTGGCAGGCACATTTGCATATAAATTGAATTCTGCACCTCCCAGGAACTCCCCCTCTTGGCAGCCGTGGACAGAAACTCCCCCCCCCCCCGCTTGTCAAATCAGAGAAAACAGGCAGCAGCCTTGTTAACAGCGGCAACCCCCAAGTGGGGGGTGTTGGGGGCTGGCAGGCAGGTGAGAGCCACACGCCCAAGGGAAGCCCAGCCTGCCAGCACTGGGGGCTCCTCGGCAGACCCAGAAGGGAAGTCGGGGGTCCTCCAGCTGCCCCTTCCTGGCACCGGCAGAGCGACAGACCCCCACCTGCCAAAAGGTGTGGAAGGGTCTCCCACCAGGTTTAAATTCTCCAGGGAGTGTGAACTGTGTGAGCTCAACCCACCTGCCAAAATGATCCAGTTCCAAAGTTATGACAGACAGCACCCCCCAGTCATGTGACTGCATTTATGGCCGTTTGCAATGTCCCATGGTCACGTGACCACAACTTACAAAATTTTTGCCCCAAACTAGCATTTACTTCCAATT